ATTCCAGTTTGGTGAAAGTGTCCACAACAGATAAATATGGCAGGAAGTTGTGGATAATTACTGTACAATTTTAATTCAACATATCCTTCAAAAGAACAACAATGATTGTTGTTTGTGTTAGTCTATACAGATTTTGTCCCCATATGAATAGTCTAAAAAGTGACATCACAGAAAATGTGGCCTTACTGTATAAACGCAAGCAACATAAAAATGGGAGGCAAGTGTTCCGTGGTTATATATCGGTTTGTAGACTTGCAGGTCCAGTTTGTAATTTAGCTAGTGTGTATTTTCACATGCAAAAAATCATGACGCATTCTCCTTAGCACATTATAGTTTTACCATGCATTTAATATGAAATGATTGGCAAGCTAGAAGTAACTAACTGTCTTGCAACAGATTCATTTGTTAAAGCTGGCCAATGTCCTTTCATACAACAACCCCTTTAATTTTAGTTTTTTTTAGAATCATTTTATAATTGTCTCAATCAACAGTGTAATCATATGACCAAATGACTTCAGGTTGCTGATTAAAAAAAAACAGTTTCCACTGTCTCTTCTGTGACGGCTGGTAACATTAGTGAGGTGCTCATACTAAGCATCACTGTGCTGAATTTGGACAAAGCAGGCATGACTGTCTTGTCTATCTTCAGCTGTGTTGGAATCTTATAGCATCTGGATGGTTCCCTTTGTGGCCAAGCTGTATTTTCCTGTTTTAATACTGGAATAGAAAAACAACATTAGTATGCATGTGAACAACGCACACATTAAGTGTTATGTTGATTTTTTTTTTCTTTCCAGTCTCGCATGTCTTGTTTACATTATGTAGAACCTGAACCATTTTGTATCTTTTGTTATCTGAATAGAAATGTTTTTCTTTGTGTTCCTTAACTTTCCAACCCAGTTGCTGCTACTGCGTTGTGTGGCTCAGGGATTATCTCTCACTCATTTCTAAAGACCTGCAAAGCAGCAGTTCTTAATGGGTTAAAACCCACCCTTTGACTAGGCACTGCTACAGCTTGAAGTCAAGTGTTAATTCTGTACAGATCGTGTTACCATAGCAATGCCCTATGCTTGATCTAATTGCAAACATCTTTTTGCATCATGGTGTGCTAGCATCCTCAGAGCTGTTTCAACTTCCCTTTAGAACAAGCTAGTCATTTAGCAATCTGGGGATATTGTTGTTTTATTTTTGTCTTTTGGATCGGTCATCTAAACTTCGACTTAGATGCTAGCACTCGAAAAATGTCAGATCTCTAAATCTATGCAGAAGGCAAATGTGTACCTGGCACATTCTGCATGATAGTTCTGTTAAAGCTGTTTTGTGGTTGGTTACTGTATGGAATTAGTGCTCTATTTGCCATTTGTGCAGAGACACTTGGATAATTTCTTAGCAAAGAATGTTTCTGGGGATTCAGATCCAAAATGAATGGTGAGTACATTTTTTATCTAAGCCTGTCCTTGAAAGACAAAAAAGATGCTTGTATGATCATTTTGTTTATCTAAGAACTAAGTAATGACAATTATCAGTAATTGATAAAGTGAATGGTTTTTGCATAGTATTTTTAATCTTTTTTATTCTGTCACAATTCGGTTTCTTAAAAAGAGTAAAAGTAAAATGATAGTACTGAGATTATGGTAGGTAGTGTTAAATCCTGCAGTGATTTTGTGTGAGTGTGTGATGGCTGTGGGTGGAAAGTAAAAGGAATTTGAGTGGCAAGCAGGACATTGTGCTACAAAATCGTAAGAAAACGATTTAGAAGCAAAGACACATTTTGTCATGAAGCAGCAGCCATTTAGAATATTCTATTTGTAGATCTAAAACAGCAATATTTGTCTGCTAACTCTGGTTCAATGCTGGGATGTTCCGTTACATAACAAATTTCATGATGACCACAGACAGTAAAAGAACTTTAAAGTGTCAAAACAGTATTTCCTGTATCCTTCCGATAATTTTGTTCCTAAGGGTGGACACAGGTTTTCATGATAGGGGGGCGTTTTGAGCTTGAAGTCCCTTGATAGTGGGGTGTGGGGGTGTGTAGTTCTGGAACAAAATCATAACCTGGAAGCCTAGAGAGAGATTGTACTGAGTCCATGCTATCTCCAGACTTACAAAAATGGGAAATTGTCATTAGTTTATGAAAAATAAGCAATGTGTATTTGATATATATATAGTTGCCTGTACATGCATATGGTGAATAGTGTTTAATATGCATGTTGCAGAAAACAAATTTATGTCCAGTGCCATTGTCTGTATTCTTTCTCTGCATATTTCTGCATATTTGACAACAGCTTAGAAGTAAAAAGCCTTAGGGTCTTATTGATTTAGAAACAAAAATGAAACATCAATAACATGTATTGCTGAGGTCCAGACCTGAGTTATTTTTTGGGAGGTGGGTGAGAAAGCAATATTAAAGGAGAGCAATTCCATTATCCCCCTTACACCCTTTTCAACAGGTCCATACAGTTTAGATTTATTTTCAGTTTTATGCTTGGGCGTTCACAGGGTTTGAATTTGTATTGATGAAGATGTTCAATATTCCTTTTCAGAAGATCTGTATAAGGGCTGGGGTAGGAGAGAGCAGGGTTTACTCCACTCCCCATCTGCCTTTTGTTGCTGTATTTAAAGGTGATCCATGTTGACAAGATCCACATTAGTGTACACTTGGGTTTTTGTTAAATGTTTTAAAGATCTCATATATTCACAGGTTTTTCTTTTGCATTGGCATGTTAATGTGTAATTAGATCCATTAGAATGTGCTCTTACACTGTAATTGAATACATCTGAGATGTGCTGTGTCTTGGTTTTTAAAAGTGGTAAGACTAGTGTTGGTTTTAATAACTATTTACAAAGACTATAATAGACTTAGACTTAGAAATAGACTTGGACTTGGTGTGTATATCAAAATGTAACTACAACTAATATTGCTTAAGTTCCTATTGAAAAAAGCAATCATGGTTTCAGTGCTTTTATATGTTTTTGCTAGCTTTGCTGCTATGAATGTGAACCAAACAACCTCTCCAGTTAAAGGTATAAAACCATAAACATTATGGTTAACTGAAGCTGGGTACATGGAACAGTAATATCTTTTAGTTCCCCATTCAGACATGCCTTACTACACTGGACACTGTAAAAAGACAGAGACATTGCATGCTTGCCTTGAACCAGTCATATTGTTGCAATCGAATGCTGACTTTTAAAACATCCTTTTAATAAGGGCTTAAATAATCAAAGCTTTACTTTTTTTGAGAAATAATATTTCTAATACTAATTTGAAAAATACTTTTTAACATCTTTAGTTGTAGGCAAATGTGCATGGATGTTTTCTTCCTCGTACAGTATAGTGTAAATGTGAAGTATTTTGGCAAGATATGAAAATGTTAATGTAAAGTGTGCAACATGTTGGGGCTTATTTGGTATCATGTAACACACTCAGTGGATTCTGAAAAATTCCAGAAGTTCTACAGAGTTCTACTTCTACAGAGTAAGGGTATCTTTAAAATTTGGAAATCTTTTTATCCTTTATGACTTTATTACTGCATGGTTTTGGTATTCTATTTCGGCTCAGAAATTGCTTGGCCTAACATTAACAAACTTTCAACACATTCTCATGTTTTGCATGCAGAAAAATATATTGTACTGTGAAAAACAATGGATAAACCAATGATGGATTCACGTTTTTTGATGTAACAAAGGCCTGTGATAAAAAAAATAATTTGTAGCTTATTTGAATTTGAAGCTGGGATTAGTAAGTGTATCATGGTTTTTGAATGAGTTTCCCCCCTCTTTTTTTCCTCTATCACATCTGTCAGATTCAGTATCTTTAACTGTCTTAAGTCCTCTTTGTGTTGTCTTGCATTTCTGCTGTGATGTGTATTACAGAAATCACAATTTTTTTTAGATGCTAGTGAGAAGCCGTCTGCTTCTGCAGTATTTTTAAGATGACCAAATAACACGTGATTTCCGTAATAATGCTAAAATCTGTTAACCCTTGAGAGGTTTCTTCAGTGGTGTGTTATTCCAGTTGATTCAAAGAGAGCTTTAGGATTAAAATACTAAATGAATATTTGAGGCCAATTTTAGAACTGTCTTTATCTAAAAATTAAATAAAAGATTAGCTTATAGCTCAGGCGGAGTGGTGGCTAAGGAACTGTGGCTAAGGAACTGTGCCTGTGGCTGGAAGGTTGCCGGTTCAAATCCCGTGGCCGGCAGAGGAATCCTACTCCGTTGGACCCCTGAGCAAGGCCCTTAATCCCAACTGTTCCAATAAAGTGATCTCTCTCTATCTCTAAAATCTTACCCTGGAGTACTGAGATGCTGTTCATCAGTTGTGAGTGTGTCACCACAAGTGTGGCTGAAGTGACCAAGAGCCACCAGGATTCACTGAAGGCAGCTGGAGAATCCACTCGTGCTCTGCTCATGTACAGCTGACCTCTGCATGCTGTATGATGCAGAGCTGCAGTCTGTAAAACATGCAGTAGCACAGTGCAGCACAGAGGAAATCTGGGCCTTTACATTGATTTGAAAATTCCTAATTTGAACTGTAAAGCAAATATTATAGATACAATGTAAATAATAAATTGCTGTCATTAAATTAAAAGCTACCACTCCTTTGTTTCACATCTGCACGTGACATTCTTTATTCTGATAAGCAATAATAGATAGATCTAGTGTTGTGAAAGAAGATAAAATCGATTCTTTTGATTCTGTCAAAAATCCTGATGCTCTTTGTAATCTATCTGGAGAGAAAAACCTCAGTAATAGCTAAAGAGATTCAAATATATTTTTTAAAAAAGTCAAATGAACAAGGGAAACCATATTTGTTATGTATTTCTCTTTCTGTCTGTTGTACTTAAATACTTGTATTCTCTGTGTATGTAATCCACTTTTTTATCTTATGTGCTTGTTGTTAAAAACATAAACCTTCTCTCTCTCTTTCTCTCTCCTTCTAATCATCCCATCCATGTGGGTGAATGTTCCTGCAAACCCTTGGTGAACTATAGAGACTTTTGGTATGCTCATTCTTTCATAAGATGCACAAAGTCACAGAAAAGGAAAAAAAAAACTAATCTTGCATGTTTGAATTACTTATTCAAAGATACTTAATTGTGATTCATTCTCAATCCAATAACCTACAAATTCTGTGATATGAGTCTAAAACTGCAATTTGAAGTTTAAACACCCACTTGGCTCTTTTCAGAGCCTGTTATGACAGTGGTGCCAGATTGTTTTCCCCCAGATACATTTTTAGATTGACGTGATCCCTGACAGTGCAAATCGCCACTTGATCTCTGTGACTATGGGTAGCTCGAGTCTGCTGTGTTTTTTCATGTAGCTCTAGTGTCTTTGCTTGTAGTAATACTGTGCTTTTCAGACCTCAGCTTTATTTTTTGACAGTATTACTTTAAAAGTGATGCCCAACAGTTCTGTGTCTAAAACGGTGCAGTTCCTGACTTGGATGTCACTCCTTTCCAAGCAGTTTGGTTCATCTGGAAAGACGTCTGAGCTCTTGGCATCACTCTTGAGATTGCTTGCCTGGGTGTTTCTGTGGGTTTCTTCTTAATCTTATTATAATAGTGTTTTTGATCACGGTGGAACTACATTTTGTTAAAACATAATGTAGATGGGAGCTTAGAAATTGATGTTTTCTTAAAATTTTTCTTAAAAATCGTCATGTCTTGCCTGTGGATAAACTCCCACTAACATTATGTTTTCTCTGTTGCCCACCAAACCTTATGTACATGGATTTGTATAGGCTGTGGAACAACCTGGAACTACATGTACTAATTGCACACTCGTTTCTCCTTCTTTCAGTGAAAGAGTTCTTAGCCAAAGCCAAAGAAGATTTCTTACGAAAATGGGAATGTCCACCACAGGTAAACCTCATAATGAAAATCAAGTAGCAATGCCTTTACACCATTATTGCAAAATAAAAAGGATTTCTTGTCATTGAGGACATTGACAAATATTTGGAAAGGTAATGTTTTATACAATTTGAGCCAAGTAAAAACGTTTAAGTTGGTAATTGTAAAATATTTTCTGAAATATCGTTTTTTTACATGTTGATGTTTATTGCTGTGTATTCTAACACATCCATTAAGCGTTCACTGAGATGTAGTGCTGCACACAGTTGATCTTTGTGCCATTGTCTTCAAAGGATTGCTTTGAAACCTCTTCAGATACTACTTTAGGATATATAGTGGCTATTGTTAATGGGGGTATCATTTAATAATCTCTGCATTTTGAAAAACAATTGCTGATATTTCAGTAGCTGACAGTCCTTTGTACAAAACATATTTATCACAAAAAAGTTCCATGTGGCAAAATTTCATACATTGCCTCTAAATATTTTTACTCAGTGTATATAAAATGTGTGGTATTCTGGGTTTTCCAGTGCCTACTTATACCAACTAGACAAGTAAAGTGGATTACACAAAAAACTGTTAACTTATCTGATGTGTTAAAGTGAACATAGATCACATGACAGAGGTTTCATATTTGCACAGCTTTTTCTTACTTTTTTTAGCCTGTTTTTCAAATCTCATCTGACAGCTATGATCCCCGTTACCACACACAAGTGAAAATGAAGTGTAGGTTTACTCCTCTGGTCCAAGCCTAGAGGAGTCATGACACAGCCCCGTATCAGGACAAAAGTGCCGACTGGAAGAAAGTGTGTCCATTACCTCACAACATAACATGCTTACAAGCACCCAGGAGGCTGCAGGGGTCACTGGGAGAAGATGGCCGACGAATCCCACCCTGTCCTTGACACACTCAGCCAGTTGAGCCCTGCCGCGTAAGGGGATCCTAGTCACAGTCTGCTAGTGGTAAGGCTCGGACACGAACCTGCAGTCATGGGGCTTTTCCACCACCCGACTGAGCACTTTTACCGCTTCAGCTATTCAAGTGGCTCTTGTGCCATTCCCCCCCGCCCCCATGTAGTGATCACTCCCTCCCAGCCTTCAATTGTGAATGAAAATTGGTTCCTGCTAATCACCCAGGAGGGTCAAACAGATTTCACGTGACTTGTTTCCTAATGCCGCCACCTTGTTGCCAAACTGATTGGCCATGTATTTTTTTCCAGAGCACGGCTGGTCTAGATGACTTTGAGAGGCAAAAAACCCTCGGCACAGGCTCTTTCGGAAGAGTTATGTTGGTAAAACATAAAGGAGCAGAGCAGTACTATGCCATGAAGATACTGGACAAGCAGAAGGTTGGTAGAAAAGAAAATGTCTTTCCTGTTTAGTTCAAGATAAGTATTAAAAAATGGTGTTTACAAATAAACTTGTTCACTTTACTCATTCTGACACATTGGTTTGCATTACATTAATAATTACATTTTAAAAATGTTTAATTTTGTGCTCATCCAATTTAGAAGCTTTATTTGTATAAGACACTGTTATCTATTTATCTGATGTGCACATAACTGCTTTGCAAACTCTGCAAGAATTATGGGTTCCTTATATTGATGAAGCTATCCTTTCTTTTATGGGCAGTTCATCAATTTCTGACAGTATTTAATGAAGTATCAGGCCTATGTGTAATGCAGTAATGTGACCATCCTGATTTCCAGTAAACCTGATATTATGATTTGTTTTTATTGCATAGATCTAACGCAGCAAAGCTGTCATCACACATCCCTAGGCTGGATGACTGTATCTGAAATGACATGCAAATCAGCTTAAGCCGAATGTGTTCGGGATGAGTTTTGCTTAGCCCTTTAATGAAATATAACAAATACAGACTTGCTCGTTAGAAATTACGGTAACATTACCTGAATGTTGTTGAATCATGGCCTCATAATACCTTCATTATTGCTCCACAAAATGTTACAATCACATTCATCATGCTTTATAGGGACATGCAGAAATGACATAACCTTTGGATAAGAGGAGATGATGTTTGTTTTACAATCATTTCTAGCACTTAGTACAATGCAGTTATTACCATACTGCAGCCTGATTTGTACTCAAAAACTACTATAAAAAAGCACAGCAGCTGCTGTTATTTTGATATTTGTTAAACCTTTTCTAGCACATTTGTGAAACTGTGCAATTTAAACCTAAACATAAAGGTAAACCTGAGGAATGCATTTGTAGAATGCAGAAATGTGCAATGTTCCCTCAGAAATTAAATGGAAATAGTAAGAAACACATTCTCCATATACACTCTCTTAATATCAAGTTTTTGTTTAAATGTGACTCAAAATATACAGTACACTATTTTGTAATTCAGAAAAAATCAGTTGTCACTTTAATACTCTTAGCTACAGTCGGCAACAGAAAGCATGACGGAGTGTTGAAGACAGTATATGCTGCTTATACCCAGTTGCCTGTCAGGATGAATAGAATCACTTGGGTGACAGGTAGCTGGGCAGTTTCAGTGTTCTTCCAGCCACTGTCCATTACCCATTGTGTCACACTTACTAAACAATACTGTAACATGTCTTTGTAATAGGATGTACCTCATGTGTATATTGTAAAATTGCTAAACCCTAAAAAAATATATTACTGCGAAAAATAAGCTGTGAATAATTTAAATTCTTTAAAAGCAACCAGCCTATAATTATTAATCATCAGAAATTCCCTCATTAATAAGGAAAAAATGTTTGTAATATGACATTAGAGAATTTAAGTTAAATGGCATTTTAAAGGCTCACTTGGAGTAAAAGGACTAGAGAGCTAAGTCCAGATGTGAGCACTATTCACCATTCACCTATAACAACGGTCATCCCTTCACATTTTACATTACATTGACAAACATTAACAACCACTCTGTTTAAAAATAACTTTTGTAGAACTAGATAGACAGCTTGCCCAAATAAAGTCTGACTAGAGTTTTCATCTCTTGTTTTAGAATGGACCCATAATGCACCATCTCTCCTATTTGCATGCATTTTTAATGGACATGCACTTTTAATCACATTTTTTTAATTACACAACATTTTTCAGGGATGCATCTTCCTCATAAAAGTTGAATGATTTTTATTTTTTTTAATTTGTCAAGTTTTGTTTTCTCACTTGGTTTCTCCTAGATCAATAATCAATAGATCTAGATTAAAGTGTTGCATAATTTACTTGCATCGCATATGTTCTGTGGCTAATCTTATCAGTTACTGGGTCATATATTTTCTTAGAATATCAGAATACTAGTGAAACATCATAATGATGTGCATGTTAGAGAGATGTCAACTTTAATTCAATCTTTATTGATAATCAATTTTTTCTTATTGCTGATATTGACAGTTTTATGCTTACACGACACTGATTTGTAGTTCCTGAATGTAATTAAATTTCTTATTAATCTTAAAATTGAGTAAAGACCAATTAACTATTTTTAAGTGTCCTAATTTCCTATGTGTTTGTATTTGATGACAGAATGATTATTTATTCCACAGTAATAACTTTAACATTATAAATTCATATTTTTTTAGTTCAGTTTTCAGTAAGTGTAATGTTGGTTTTTGAGGTGCTCTTACGTTTAGAAATGCAATAGTTAACTTAAGACAGTGAAACTGATTTATTTCTTCCACCTTATTATTAAAATGTAAAAGGGCAGTTGTGGAATGTTGTTGTCACTTGCCTAAGGTTTTTTTACTATCCAAAAATACATTACACAGAAGTGTTGCGCAAGTGTGATTAATGTGCTCGATACAGAAATCCTGTGGGAAACAATTAACAGATACCTTCAGAATTAAACCAGTGCACCCAAGAAATGGGAAATGACTCCTGTAATAATATTAAGCACATTTCTATTTTGGTTCCAAACTTAGGGTGTTGTCAGTACAAATAAGTAACTGCTTTCTGGCAGACATAGAAAAATAAGGAAGTTAACAAACTTTCACTACAATATCTGTATAGAAAAGAGAAGGAAAAGCTACCATAAATGGAATTTACTGCCTTCAGTTACACACGGAGATTGAAGTGATAATTTAACTGCAGAAGATTTAAATCATATGTTTTTAATGCTGTGCCCAGTTAAAGCTAAACATAGACGTAAAACTAATTTAGTATATTTTTAGGAACCTTGCATTCAATTTTGAAGATTCTTAAAACATGAAACCAAAAAAAGTTTTGTGGTCAGAGGAGATTCTTCGTAAATACAGGATAACCTAAAACAGTGTCTTGTGGAAAAGGCTTGATTAGCTCTCAAGTGAGATTGAAGCAAAGAAGAATTTAAGACTTTGTTCTGCTTTAAGAAGAATAAGCATCCATATCTAGATGCTGCTTGTACTACAGCACTCTTTGTATCAAAATCGGAGCATTCCTATTCACACACCATTGTGCAACCTATTAATTGCTTTTGACTCTGTAGTTTCATAAATATCTCATAAATGCAAAGGTGGTGGCATTTTAAGGAAAACACACCATTATAATTTATCTGAATCTGTTTGTACCTGTTTGAAATCAGAAAGGAAATCTTATTTCTAAAATTACATATTTTGGCATCTTAAAGTCTTAACATTGCTATCTCTCTCTGTCTCTCTCTCTACTTAGTTGAAACAGGTAGTGAGTCTAAAGACAGGTTTGCCATTTTGTATGTTCTATGCCACAATGTTAATGGCAAACACTATATACTAATACATTTTATTACTAATGTGAAACTTGATTACTAACCTATTCTAAAGATTCATTGGTTGTAGAGAAGGCCCTACCTATTTTATGGCTGTTAAAAAGAGGACAGACCATGAAATTTCAGCTTCACCATGAAATCTTGGCCTCATTCTATATGAGTATTAGTTTAAATTTGAGACACCTCATTGTCAAAATTACAGAACTGCGTTTCTTTTGACATTTGACTGTAACAAATGTCAACATTGAGCTCTATTCTCTATGATACTCAGTGATTGGTAGCATCTTGTGGTATGTTTACTCCTGTGATGTAGAGATCTGAGCTGCTACAAAGTGTGTAGTTCTTATTGTAACAAACCATGTGGAAAACATAACATCCAAATTCTGCATGCAGAGTCAGTCATACATTCTGGTATGATCTGCAATCATTCTTGTCTGGTTGTAAACTGACTTTTTTCATGTTAATGACAATTGAAACAAATGAAAAAAAAAACATGTTTTATTGCACAACATGAGAATTTGGATTTAAGTATCATTAACTGAACGTGAGCCGTTTTGAAACATAATGATTCAAAATTAAGTGAATTTGGTTGATCCATATAGACCCATGATGCTGTCATTTCTGAAGTTGTTTTGGTTATGAAATGATAAACTGAATTTCTTTTATCTAATCAAGCCCAGTAGAAGTTAGGGCTGTAAGGGTTTAGATAAAAACTAAGAACAGAGTGTGGGTTATTAGGGCTGGCTACTTCTAGGGCATTATCTTAACCGTGGGTTCATTTTGCTCTTACAAGATTAATACAGTAACACTAGTAATATGATAATCCCCCCATAATCAAATAAGCTAAAATGAAAATATAGTTTAACCTTACTTAATTTAAAGCGCTAAATTATATAACAAGTACTTAATTCATTCCATCAGTTTTTTGTTCAAGATGAGTATTCTCTTAATTTGAATTAAGTATAATTGTAATAGACAGAATCATCACTTTTGTTTGATCATTTATTAAAAAATGATGGCTGATCATTCTACCATACAGATCCTTGAAAATAACATTGCTTGTTTTAAACTAACAAGAATTCCCTATAAAGCATTACAGGGAAATGTTTTAAAATATCTCTTAAAAATACAAAGTACTGCAGAATATTTACATTCTAAAATGGAAATGTACAATTTCAAACACCTTACTCTTCCCATGCTATTTATATCTGAGCTTTTTTTATATCGACAGTACCCATTATTATTATTATTATTATTAACCTTGCTGAGCCTTTGGCTTTGGTACTGTATTTTAGTTATTATGATAAAGCAGCTGTCTGTTGGGCATTTTTAATAAATTACATCAATTGTGATTTTTGTATTGAAGCATATTAGAAAAAGATTGAATAACATAGGTTAACATCCCTGTTTCTCAAGCGTTTCTGTAATATTAATGGGTGTATTCTCCCTCTTGTGACCTTTTGGCTGGTTGTCTCTGCAAAAACCTTTGAAAGGTCATACTGGAAAATGTCAAACACCCAGAGAACTTCAAACATATCTGACATCTTTTCAAGTGTTTTTTGAATCCCTGCATAGCTCACAACAATGTGATTGGTCATTTAGTCAAGCAGGTGAAATGATTAATCACAAAAAAGCAGTCTTGAAAATGTACTGTATACTCTTCCTTCTGTATCACACTGCATTCCCATATAACTTTTATTCAGTTTACACGTAACAGAAAAGCAAAGTCATGTTAAGATTGTAGCATACCCCCAGACTGTGCAGGTGAACTTTTGCCTGTTCCTTTTCTATCCAAAATGTCATCAGGGCCAGGAGATGTGTGCTTCACTATTAGTAAAACTAATAGTAGTTCTTTCAGTCTTTACTGGCTAAGAGCTAAAAATACAAAAGGTGTGATTTTTCTAAATGAAAGTTATGTAGCTTAGTATTGAATGGTGGAAGAAGAGGTGTCAGTGTTTATCAACCCATGTTTTGTATAAATTAAAACTTGTAATAGTTTTTAATTTTTTTCTCAAGTAAAACTTAATGATAATACAATTTTAAATGTGTTAAAAACTTGTACCTTTTCAGTCATCTCTTAATTTTTCAGCAATTTCCATATATCATCTGATTTATTTTAATACAAAAAAGTTCCACTGTATTTTTTACAAATACCCTTTAAAGCATCTTTTTAATATATCTTTGCTCTTATATCCCAAAGCAATTTCTTCCATCTAAATAAACAGAAGTCATGAACGGTTAACTTGCAGCCAGTTATAGTCAACTGTGAGGTCTGCCTTATGTACATTGATTAAAAATAACTGTAGGAGAGTGCTTAACTCTCTTATATGTACATACAGTATCTATCACATATGAATGCATTAAGAATTTGTAGAGGTTAAATATAAAATTCAACAAGTCTCATATCAGGGTAGAAAATAATGCACAGAGGAGCTTCAGCAAATTTTGCCAAATGTTCTATCTCTGCTGCAATATTACTGTGTTACACATTTACTTATCATAGAAATCTTAACTTGTTGGAATTTATTCTTATTAATTGGTGCTGCATGTGTTCACCTTTTTGTGTCCTTGTTTTGTAGGTTGTAAAGCTGAAGCAGATAGAACACACATTAAATGAAAAGAGAATATTGCAGGCTGTGTCCTTTCCATTTCTTGTAAGGTTGGAGTATGCCTTTAAGGTAAATGTATATTAATGGATGTTTAGAAGACTAGCATTAACCAATAACACATGAAATATGCAATATAACCACAAGTACAGTATACTTCAAGGGGTCTTACATTATTTTAGGCCAATTGATTCTTTAGTTCAGTCATGAGTTATAATTTTTTTTTTTAATTGAAGACCAAAAGTTCATCTATTTACCTACAGAGGTCTGCAGACGAAACTGTAGAAGTCAGTTCTTCTACATTTGAGGCAACATATACTGAAAAAACAGGTCTTATCACATAAAAAGCACTTATTGTTAGAATCATCTTCTGAGTAGGTGACCCATTGAAATTTAACTCCTGTTTGAATGCTTTGACTTATTCAGTATTCAGGGGGAAAAAAAGGTTTTTGTTCATACAAATTACACACAAATATATCTATTCTCTTAGTATATTTCTGTTACGATAACACTGGTGCACCACGTCAAAGTTCTTTGTTGTTTAAAAATCCACTGTTGATGAAGCCCAGTCTCATCTTTTGTCACATCTTTTGTGAAGCAGCAAATGCATTTGACTGTAGTACTGTAAGATGTCAAAGTTAGTTCAAAACACTCAAGCGTTTCACACAATATGTGAATGTGCAAACATTTTTTTTATGCAAGACCCTAATATGCTTATCTGTAAATTAATGTAATGGTTATATTACTTATCACAATGTGCTCTAATAATATGCTTCTAATAAGATTATATATTATAGTTAGAAAGAACAAGGTGACCTCTATGTTCGTAGCTGCTGGGTCTTCTTTGTAGGACTGAGTTAGATATAAAATTGGTGTCTTACAAGTTTAAAGGACAGTGCAGTGCAAACTGCTTGTCTTACCCAAATCCCCTTTTTTCCTTGATTGTAGGATAACTCTAATTTGTATATGGTGATGGAGTATGTTCCAGGAGGAGAAATGTTTTCACATCTTAGAAGAATTGGAAGGTTTAGGTAAGTGAAATACTCAGTATTATTCGTTAGCTGGGTGGAAATGAATGAGATCTGCTTGCTTGCATACTCTAATATAGAGAATTTTGAAATGCCATCCTAACTTTGAGGTGGAAATGTAGAAAAAATATTTGTTGTGAATTTATAAACAGCATATAATGGTGTTTCAGTTTTATTTCAATACAGGAATAGTAATAAAACCCACCACTCTTGGTGTAATTATGGCAATGAGACGAGAAATATAAACTTGTTAGCCATAGTGGCAAATCCATATATTTTATCATTTTAGGTAGGAGGTCTTTTTTATAACTTGTTAAATAAGTTTAATAAGTAAATAAGACTGTGTAAGATACGGTCTACATTTGTCATTACATAACTTCTGTTTCTATCTCCTTAACATCATGCCTGAAGAAAATGTTAACTTGAGAGTAGAGAACATTATATTGTAGTTCCCCAGAACAGTATTTCTAAGTATACACATTAAGAATAGCATGCTCTACATTGCAGTTAATTATAGAAACAGTGGTATAAGTACAAATATAGCAAGCAAGAATAAACCAGTAATAACCAGTCCCCTTTACCCTTGGGAAAATCTTTTTTACTAATTTAAATCGAATTTGAAAAACATTTTTTTATTTATATTTATCCAAAATAAAATGATAATTATTCATAATCTAACATATGTTAATTGGGTAAAAGTTAAAAATCTGATGATTGAACCTGAAATGCAACCTGCAAAAATTAAAACGTCAATGCACATTTTAAATGTGATGAATGCATTGCATTATCCCCTGAGGCTTAACTGTTTCTGTGGCTGTCTTCCCTTAGTGAACCTCATGCACGATTTTATGCAGCTCAGATAGTACTGACATTTGAGTACCTCCATTCACTAGACCTCATCTACAGAGATCTGAAACCTGAAAACCTTTTAATCGATCAACATGGGTACATCCAGGTAAGTAACCGCCAATACTACCAGTGTTTATATTGGAAATACTCACGATTTAAGGATTGTTATACTTCTATAACAGTTATAGAACTGTAATGCAATTGAGGAAAATAATGACTCTTAATGAATTATTGTTAATTAAATCTCTGTTTCTGAGTTTTTTCTGTTTGTTGGCGATCCCATTATGTTGAATAACAGGTAGTCTTCTTTAATGTAGGTCACAGATTTTGGCTTTGCCAAAAGAGTAAAGGGCAGGACTTGGACATTGTGTGGAACTCCAGAATATCTGGCACCAGAGATTATCCTCAGCAAGGTGGGTGTTAATACTTTTCAACATTGTATCCGACTAAGTCATAATAAATAGTAAATTCATTCTTAATGGTTTTAATGGGTTATACTCATTGCTGGCATGTATAAGGTGTGGTTGGTGCTATGTTTTGCTGCTTATGGATGTAATTAAAATGGTTACCTGTATTATTTTTGTATTTTATTTAGTAAAATCATTTGGCTACTATTAATGCAGAACTAAATAAGACTGCTCTAAAGTTGTCCAAGCAAGCTAGTCTTCTTCAAACCATCTTGGTTGTAAACACTTCTCTTATCATGCTTATTTAATATTATGTTATTTAATATGCTGTAGGCTGACATCTAAGTGCCATTGTGAACATTTTATATTGATTTACACCTCGTACATTAGCTAGTAGTACTATCAGTTATTGAAACCATGTGGGTGGGTGGTGTGGGCTTCAGTTGGTTTTTATTCATTTTTTGTAGCTGTGTATGACTAAAGTGCAATTTTGTTTTAGGGCTACAACAAAGCTGTGGACTGGTGGGCATTAGGGGTTCTAATCTATGAAATGGCAGCTGGCTATCCTCCATTCTTCGCAGATCAGCCTATTCAGATATATGAAAAAATTGTCTCTGGCAAGGTATGGCTGCATGCCTTGAATGTCCTGTTATTTCCAACTGATTATAAGCCTTTTTCATTAAATGTTTAGTTTAAATGCTAAATAGTTATCTTAAAAATAGAATATGAAGGTCTTATTAGTTGTAAAATATATGTAGTGCAGACTTGTTACCAGTTTTTTTCCTTTGTTTAGGAGGCCCTATATTGTTTTGGTGATTCTCTTCATTATTTACTTTGGCCAGTACTGTTCCCTCATGTACAACAAAAATGCTGTGCTCGTCCGGTCATTCTATACAATATTGTCAGAAACCAAGAAGCTTCCGCTCAGAAGATTTGGAATAAATCCCCCCTGTGCCTGTTTGCTGCTGTTTTCTGATCATAATACGCATTACATGGAATTAGTTACCCCCTTGAAGAGAGAAAAGTTATGTTGACATTTTGAATGATTGTAAAACACCAAGGAAAAAAAACATTAAGTTACAGTAGTAGACCTTTATCTCTTGATTGAGTTCCATGACCACATTTGTAGCATTAAAGTCAGAAAGCAGTTTCTGTTTTGTATTAAGCACACTTACATTTTGACTTTTAGGTACGATTCCCGTCTCACTTCAGCTCAGACTTGAAAGACCTTCTGAGGAATTTGCTTCAGGTAGACCTGACCAAACGGTATGGCAATCTGAAGAATGGTGTAAATGACATTAAAAACCACAAGTGGTTTGCCACAACGGATTGGATTGCCATCTATGAGAGAAAGGTAAGCTTAGTATTTGTCAAATTTGTAGAAGTTATGAATGATAACTTCAGTGGAGTAAATCAAGTTGTGCTAAATTCAAAGTTTAGGTATGGAAGTTACCCATAGCTTTGTGTTGGCTGGGCAGAAATTTGTCTACACAGGAAGGAAAACGAATTATAGCTGTTAAAGTCTGTGGAAGAGCTTGCAGTGTTTATTTTTAAAAAGTTATTTTGTGGGGGTATTAAAATCCCTTTAAGTCTTATCTGTACTAAGATTGTGCACCTTTTGAATAATTGAGATGACCACTCTCTCCATAGTTGGCTAAGTATCCTGTCACTTGTCACGTAGATAACAGGATGGTATTCTGTTAATTCCCTAGAAACAAACAAGCATAGATGGTTCCCTTTTATATTTTTATGCACGTTAAGTATATGTATATTTAAAAAGGTACTATAACTTAGAGTTGAAACTGTAGCATTTTGTATTCCATATGTTTTTATAACCAATTTGTCATTTGCATAATAATGCTACGATTTACAGTTTTCAAAGATTTATACATTTGTAAACATGTCAGTCTCAAGTGCTTCCCTATGGTTAGGTTAGGTGCATCACTACAGCCACATCAGTAGTTCAGTGATTGCAATACCTATTCACTGTCATACATTGTCAATAAGAGCAAAGTGCATGCAAAACCTGTGGACTGGAACTCCCTGTGTGAAATACAGAAGAAATACAGAGATGCATATTTATAAACATTGACATAAACTTCAGTAGTTTGCTAACATAACACAGGATATAAACACACAAAAAAAAATTAATATTGATTTTTTTTTCCATATGACCTTTAAGAAGAACGTGGTACTTATTTTGCTTAGACGTTTAGGTTCACATTTAACGGTAGCATAAACTACCATATTTTTCTGACACCAGATAAAATCTGATTTCCAAATCTGATGTTTCAGCTATTTTAATATTTCTAATTATTGAAATTATATTTCATTAAAAATATTTTGGTATTTATTTCTGTTTCATGGTTCCTCTCTGAATCTGGTTGTACATTGATGACAGTGTTCATCTGATCGGTTCTAGTAGTATTAAGTTCAGAAATAGCAGCAGTAGCCTCTCTGTTATAGCTTCAGTCTAAAACACATTTTTGCTTACAGGTGGAAGCTCCTTTCATACCAAAATGCAGAGGCCCTGGCGATACAAGCAACTTTGACGACTATGAAGAGGAGGACATCCGTGTCTCTGTTACAGAAAAATGTGCAAAAGAGTTTTCAGAATTTTAGAGTGTGAGAGTGAGGTTGCATCAGGGCTCGTATATGGGATCTTTGCACTCTGCTAAGAGATGGGGTGGAGCTGAGACCATCATATTTGTTCAAACAATACCTAGTTCCTTCATTCCACAAGGCTGAATGAGGTCCTTATTGCCATGATCCTTGTGTGCAGTTAGCACTAACTCTCATACACAGGCACATTTAAGCAGTCACTCCTTGTGCTGCCACACAACTAGACCACTTTCTTATCCTTTCTTTTCTCTTTTTTGAGTTTCAAAGCAGTCGTCTTTGTCTTGAATGTTGTATCTCCCCCTTTTTTTACAAAGTGGTATTTTACAGAAAAAGTCAAAAGACAAAATCGGTAATACACACCCTTTGATTTTGACGTGTAATGATTAAGTGATCAGTTGTACCAGGAGATGTCGGAATTGGTGTGTGATTCAGGTCAACTTGAAAGATAGGTGTTGCTTCTAGTGTGTGCCATCTAACAGTTTTTGTCTGTTACATGTCTGAGACTTTTTAAGAAGAGTTGCAAGCTGAAAAATCTTTTTGCTCAGACTAGAATCTAGACAACTTTTTTTCGGCATCTTTCGGAAGTAGTACTTGTTCTTCGTGTGTATCTGTACATCAATCAAATAAGGTTTCGAACACCTTGCGTGTTCAAAGCATGACCAAAATTAGAATTCAATGAATGGTAGAACCAGGTGGACAATGCCCTTTGCCCTCTGCCCTTTGTCCTTTTCTCCTGAATTCAGTACCACTAACCCCACGACTTTTTCTTTCTTCTCTGAAGCGGTGTTCTTGCCATTGTACAGCTGCATACTGCTGAGAGTGGCAAACCTAATTACAAAAGCAGAAGACCCTCAAAACTAGATAGGTCTTTGTATCATTTCTAGCGATGTTTTTACCAGTCTGTCAACTCTTAGATAGTTGTCTTTAAACTCCTGTTTTCCATGTATTAAAATGTTTTTGGCAATTAAAGCTAGAAAATGAGACACAAGAAAACGAGAAAATTTGAGGGACGTAAAAGAATTAAGACCCCTTAAATTGATATCCTTCTGCATCACTGTATTGCTCCACTATTAGGTATGTTCAAATTAAAAGGAATAATATTTGCAAAAAACCTCTATTTGGAGTGAATTGCTAAAGTGAATGGTCCATTGTTTGGTATAAAGTGTACGAAAAGGTTATCTGCCAAGTTTTGCCTGTGGCACAGTGTTGGTAAAACTGGACTGGGCATGTGCATTAACAGTTTTCACTCCATTATGAGTTTTTAATGCTTACGTCGTTTTGCAAAGTTCTCAAAAGAGATCTGTAAAACTGCCATATTTCTACGTTTTCCATTTTTACTCTTGCATTTCTGTCTTGGTTTATTTCATTCTTATGACAGAATGTAGAATTGCAACTAGTAGCTATGTATATTATTTTTGCTTGATTTTAAGTTATATTCACACACCAACTAAAACAATTTCAAAAGCTGATGTGTGCAAGCTTCAGCACCTTTCTATCACGTTTAATTCAGTCTGTCAAAACTCATTTCATCAGACACATTTGCGTTTTCATATATATTTGTTTTTATTTATACACGTATTAGGGAAAGATGCTGTCTAATAAATTTAATTTTGAACGGTTAAAAATGGCATAGTTTTTGCTGTCTTTGGAAGATCCATTTTAATACTGTAAGTGTGAAATAATATGGTTTAAACATGAAACAGACACACATCAGTATCTAGCCATCATACTCGTTGGTGTGTCAGTGAGTGTTACATCACTGATAGCACTTCCTCCTAAGCTATGTGACACTCCTGGAAATAAATCTCCTTTGTAGTCATCTTACATTACCAGTATGGGCTCTACTATCAATTCTCTATGTATTTAGTTTCTTGGATATTTTGCACAACAATGTCATTAGAAGGCTGACACTGACAGCAGTTTTTGTCCACCCATATTTACTTGTATGTGCAAGGGAAGTATAAGATACTTTGCTGTAGCAGATTTTATGTAACAAAAGATATATACGTCACATTAATAAATTTTAAAAAAATCCTTTGTATGAAAATGTTAAAATCTTTTGTATTTCATTTAGACTGAGGACATGCTGTTGTATGCTAGCTGTATGCGATAAATTCTACAGTAACTTTGTTGTCGTTTATGGACATAAAGATTTTAATAAACGCTGGAGATCACATTTCCCATCTGTTTTTAGAATTTTAGATTTTCTTTGATGAGTAAAGTAAGTCATTATTATTTTTTTTTGGTTTAGAAATGGAATTGTAAGATTGCATTAGTGAAAACTGAGAAAGAAAAACTGGTTAAAGTGCACTGCTTCACATCCTTGAAGGTAATGAAGTAATGTTCCTACCAGTAGTGAAAGAAGAATGCTGTGACTGAAATGTCTCTCATCTGGCAAAAGAAGTTCCTGTAAATGCTGCAGAATTCTTGTCGTAATTACAGCATCATGTTTGTAAGATTAAGTTTAAAATACCTTTATGATTTGAACTGGTTCTCTTATCATGCATTCCTTACAAACTGTTAAAACATGACATCAACATCATAATACTGCTGAGTAGATTAGAACCAAGAATGCTTCTGGAGGGATTTCTCACTTTTGTGAGATGAAATGTCCTGAAACTGGCCAGGTAAGTATGAATGTCCATTCAGCAAAATCCATAGGCACATTCTCATCCTTTCCTCAGTATTTATGTCCTTTGTTAAAGTGGATGTCTATTAAAGTATGTGTTCTTGTATCCTCAACTTACAAAGGTCACCTGGTGCATGGCTATCTCCAGTACTCAACAGGTGGATGTCCTGGGTATGTGCTATTCAGATAATAGATCTAAGAACATATGAAGGGATGCAATGAGAGAAAAGCTTTTGGCCTGTCTATCTTGTCCGGTTGCTAATAAGTGAGTCCAAGGGTCTAATCCAGCCATTTCTTATCGGAGTATCAGCATCTACTGTATAACATAGATGGGCTCTTTGTTCCCCACTCCAGCAATTTTTTTGTCTAAGAAAATGCCTCCTTTTTAAATACTCTTCACTCTCATGACCCTGAAACACGTTTCACTATTCTGAACCTGTCCGGTAGATATCTTTCATCTTATCTCAGTCTTTTAGTCTATTGTATGATATTCCTTTGAGTGCTGCAATGTATCTGGTCAGTCTTCTCTCTATTGCTTACAGAGCAGTAATATTTTTGTGTGGTGGCCAAATTTAAACAAAATATTCTTAATTAAGTCTCATTAGTACATTGAACAATTTTAACATAACATCCCTTGATTTGGGTGGATTGGTGGCTCTGTGGCGAAGGATCTGCACTTGTGGCCGGAAGGTTGCCGTTTCAAATCCCACAGCTTGCAGAGGAATCCTACTCCGTTGGGCCCCTGAGCAAGGCCCTTAACCCCAACTGCTCCAGGGGCGCTGTACAATGGCTGACCCTGCGCTCTGACCCCAAGCTTCTCTCTCCCTGTCTGTGTCTTATGGAGAGCAAGCCGGGGTATGTGAAAAGATGAATTCCTAATGCAAGAAATTGTATATGGCTAATAAAGTGATGTTGTTAAATCCTGCACTTTAAGCTACATGTCCTAACATTATGTTCTCATTTTTTTATGGATTCTCCCACATTGTCTTGAACTGATGGGCGATAAATCTGTATCAGCATAGACAATCTTTTTTACATGTAGCTTCTTTTTTCCCGTCTTGTATCTAGTCATAATTTGTGCTACCTGTGTTTAGCATTGTCTGCGTTAAATACCATTTAGCAGTTTTGTCCATTTTGTCTTATTTTTTAAGCTTTACTTATCCTCCCCATGTGGTATCATCTGCAGACTTTAGTTTAACAAAATCTAGATGTTTAAAATTAGGAAGAGCAGTGGTACTAATATAGATTTGTGTGACTCTTCACTTAATTACATCTCTACAACTGGAGATCCCATTTCAGTGCTCTTTTTTAGACAACATACATTACCTTGAATGCCTACCATCTGAGAATTGATATTTAATGTATAACTTTGTCAAAAGTCTTTGGAAAATCTATCTTGTCTGGGAGTTATATCTTGTCACATGGTCTGCATTACTGCTCTTGCAGGTTCAAAGACATCTTAGTTGTTGAGTATTTTTTAAATCAACATTGACTATACCCTTGAATCAGAGCTATCACTTCTATAACCTCAAACACAATAGATGCATTATAAAAAAATCAGACTATTTGGTCAACATTTTCACTTTTTTCTATAGATGGGTGCTACATTAGCTAGTTTACAGTTACGGGGTATTATTACTCTGTCAGCACCTGTTGGAAGAGGTTGCAAATGGTTTATGAATATCATGTCTGATGCCCAGCAAGACAGTTGACTGCAAGACTACAAAATGATGAAGATGTGATAAAACAGTACTTAGGGTTTTAGATGTTTTTTTGTGTGTCTCCCCCCTGGAAACTGTTGACCTAACTTAATAGAATTATAAGTTTAAGGAAACCACAGTAATATGCTTGATTTAGGAGTAAATACAAGTTTAGCACATTAGTCCTTAATAGAGATATTCTGACCAACATAATTAAAATGTGTTAAGGGCCACAACAACAACAACAAAAAACATGAATCCTTGTATTTGTGTAAAATACAGAAGTGAAAGGAAAGTCATTCTGACCTTTTCTCTTTCATGGAAAAGAGTTCAAATAGAAACCAACTGTAAGCAAAAAGGCAATTTCTTCATAATGGCTGTACTTCTTAATTTCTGTTGTTGGTTGAAGTAATTTATTTCGCTCTTGCTGAATTGTTCCCACCGTAAGCATACATATAAAGATTATTCTCAAGTGTCATCTTCCTGAAGGTGGAAGGTAACATATTTGTGGCTAATGGGAATCCCCTTTACCACTCTGCCGCTTTCTAATTCAGGAAAAGATTAAAATAATGTTCTGTTTTTTTTAGTACAACGCCTGTGTTTCAAGACCAGGTCCTCTTTTGTTGCTAAAAAAAATAGTTAACATTTCCTTTTTTAAACTTGAAATACTTAAAATGAGCACTCTCAAAGCTTATCTTTTATGAACACTAGTTTCCTTTTCCGTTTGCTCTGAAGATGTTTCTGTCTTTGGAGTCTGTCCATTATTACTATCTGAAAAGCCTGTTTCCTCCTTCTGTTAGTTTAGGTTTGGTAAGATCCTAACTTAATCTTTGTTGTGCATTAGTGAGATCACCAAGGATTGTCACTATGTTTGCATCTTACTGAATTCATGCTTTTGGTAACAGGCTTCAGCCTGTTGTATGTCAGACTGTAGAAACACATTTGTAAGAGGCCTTTTGGAATGTGAATAGGACCATGCAAAGTGTCAGTGGACAGGAGCTGAGAGAGTTAATGGCAAATTTAGTATGTACCCTTGTTCTTTTTATAACATTTTTTTATCTTAAGGTGAATGCACTGCAACAAAATCATTTGCCTCACCTACTGTATGTGATCAGCCACAGTCTAAACTTTGTATTTCCTTTCAGTGCAGTGAGGTACCGATTCTATATTAGGATGCTACAGGGCTGCTGACCTCACCTTTAGGAAATAATATGGCATTTGCAAAACACTTGCACCATTGTGGGCTTTATTCTATAAGAGCTACAAATATTTGTTTCCAAAACAGTGTTAATGGAATATCTTGCCCAAGAACAGAAGAAGTAACACTTGGTGTGCAAAGAGACTATGTGGGTTTTCTTTTGCAAGCAAACTAATTTCAGGTCAGTGGTCAAGGTTGATGAGTTTGCGGGGCTAGGCTCGCTTGCATGTGTCCTCGCAGACACCTCAGTCAGAGTCTGCACTGCAAAAGCGAAACCCAACCACATGATTGAAATGGACTTTTTATAGCTGTTACAGAAAAAAATTAGATCACTTAATGTATGAAACACCCTAAAAACAAACTACATCTGGGTGTCTTTCAACTTATCCCTGTTACAAGACTTTTTTAACCTTATATATTTTATTTAGATCATCAACATGGTTATGCAAGTTAGCCATTTTCTAACAAATTGTAGCACAGACTTTCTTACAAACAAAACGGACGATTACAAAAACTATTAATTTAAGGCAAAGTTATCTTCATACGGAAAACGACCAAGAATGTTTGAGATGTACAGATAATGGTATGAAATTGCCGCTACAACTAGATGTTTTATAGCAAACAGCAGATAATTTTTTATGAGCTCACCCATTTTTTATGATGAAAATCTGAAATGTTTTCATTTTATACATCTTGACAATTAGCTCGATGGCCTTTGTTGAATAGTGGCCTGGAGACAAAGGTTTTTCACCTGGAGCAAAAAATCTTTTTTATTCTGAAAATGAAATCAAGTTGCATCCCACAGTGACAGCCACTGGATGCGTAGGTGAACAGCCAACCGGGTTCGTCATCAACCTGAATTTTCCTGTCATTTGTTCAACCTAATGGTTGTGCTTTGGCAAGACTGGTTTTCCCTGGGACTGTCTGTCAGAACCCCAAATTCCTCACTGAGTTACTGACGTAAACTGGATCCAGTCACCACACCAATCCTCAGCATTTTTTAGGAGGTAAGCCAATACAAGCCAAAACTGAGTTCTTTTAAATGGGAACCTCCATTAGCTTTTAAAAGTTGTTATTTCTTGTGGTTCAGTACTCATTACTCATTACTCATGTTGCCTCACTGACATCAGTACTGCTCTGATTTCCTTTCACTCTGTGCTCGTTATCAGACATGCCAGTTAGAGGAAGTCAGCCAATAGGTTGCTGTGTTTTGGAGTGGTTTCCCTGGGTAGGTGCTGTCACAAAGCATACTGCAATGACCCATGTTGCACTAGGGCACAGTAAATGTTTACAGAACAAAGCCATAGGGCATTAAGGTTTGCTTTTTTTTTAGTTTCCATAACACGGAATTATGAGCCTTGCTACTTTTGGTTAATTTCACCCTTGACTGTAAATATATTTTTATGGAAATCAGACAACCTCTGACTTCTCTTTTGCAGATTCTGCAGTTTTACACTAATGCTTGAGCAAGACAGGAACCAAAACCTGTAGTGTAATGAAGAGCAAGGTTTCAAGACGGGAAAACAAGATGGTTCTTCTTTCTAGTATGTAGTCACAGAAAGAAGAAGCCAGCTCTGTGTTATGAAAAGGGATGGAGAGAATATAAAAAATCAGAAACAACACATCTTCTGCTCCACGTATCAATCTTTTCATCAGGGTTTTAAAGTGCCCTGGATTCAGTTAGTGCGTTTTAAAAAAATAGGTACAGCTACAGTACATCACCTTGGATCTATTGGATAAAAAAGCAAAACATGAGCTGCAACTTTTTTGTGACCCTCAAAAATGGATAGGTGATCAGTGATGTCAGTACTATTCACAGTGTAGTGAATTCTAATTGCCGTTACATCAGCTGCCATTGGAATATTTGTCTTGTACTGTAAATACAGTACATGATAATGATATTTTTTTAATATCCTCTTTTTGGTTAGAGTATTGGGTATGATTGGACCTGCTAATGTGTACTCAGGTGTGAGTGTGGGTCCAAATACCCTGCTGGTATCATTGCAGAAAATATGAATGCCAGTAACCTTAATAATGGCATCACATTGTGACAGATAAAAGATTGGGATTTCTGTTGGAAGTATTTTAGACATTATCTTCATATTTAAGCTTGCCGAAAGCCTCTACAAAATGGATACCCTGACGCCTCAGCACACAAGATTGGTGCTATTGGAAGGAATCGGGAGAGTAGCTTTAAGAAATCTTAACTGAGGATCCAGTCAACCATTGGGACTGTCTCTTTAAAGGTGTTGATACACATTTACTATTGGGACTTAGATCAAACCCAGCATCTGGAAGTATCTGGAGTCTACATCACTCAAGAAGTTCCACTATCAGTAAACTTATCAAGACAACAGTTTTCTGGGATTTAAAGATAATCTGCCTATAAAGGCCACACAGGACCATTTATTAGGGAGCAATATATGAATTTTGATGAAAAAACATAGACAAGGTATACTGTATATCAAACCAAAACTGTCACTCTATGCATGTATGTTTTTAGATAAATAAAGTATACTTATTTTGGATACTGAGTAAATGTAATTTTGTTTTGGTTAATTGATCATTCATGGCTGAGACTTGTTTTGGGCTGATTTAACCTATTAAATGATAAGCATGGTGAAAATCAAGAAGAAAAAGCACAGGAAGAAAATAATACACTCCCCTTGCAAAGAGTACAGTGTCTTTATGTCACTGGTACGTTAGAAACGGGACTAAGTCTAAGCACACTAGCCAGCATTTTTTAATCAGGCAAGATGTTACAGCCTAACACAATCTGTCAATATCGGGCCATGATCTGTAACGCTATAAGTCAAGACAACTTAATGCAGTCGGTAAGATTGGTCAAGTACTGGGTCATCGCTTGCTTCCCTTCCTGCAGGTTCACCCAGCAGGGCAAAGCACATCTGCCTGTGTAACTACAACCGTGATGCTGTCAAATCCCTACTTGACAGATGTGAGCTCCAGTCAGCATTTGTGAGATGAACTTAGGATATGCCATCTTGGGCTCAGAGACGAGTGCTTCTCCTGGCTCTCTTAAAGGAATGGAACAGCATCAGGAATCTTGTGTGCAGAACATATACCATCGGTGTACAACTTGGACTACTTCCAACGCTGGCTGTGCATGCCATTATCTGTAATGGTGTTGATTATCCCTGTTAATGACAAATGTTATTTATTATAATGAAATTGTATATCATATTTGTGGGGTGGCAGAGTGGTTAGCTTTGCTGCCTTGCTGGACTGGGGCACTGGGTTCAATTCCTGAGGTGCTATCTGTGTGGAGTTCTGTGTTCTCCCTGTCTTTCCTCTGGGTGCTCTGGTTTCCTACCATAGCCCAAGGCTATATTGGTAGATGAATGGGGCTTGCCCTTGGTGAGTGTGTGCATATCTGTGCAAGCTCTGTGATGGACTGGTATCCTGTGTATGCTTGCACCCATTGCTTTCTAGGATAGGCTCCGGTTTCCCCTCAACCCTATATTGGATACATTGGTTAGAGAATGGATGGATCTGTTTAGTAGCTTGTAATTGTACCTATGCCCAATGAATGCTCCATAGCCAAAATATTTTGTTTCCTTTCTTCTCTTTTCAGCATGGAATAAACCTTTACTTGTTCCTTTGCGCCCTATGCATGCTGGCACAGCTACCCACCTGAACTACTTATGCCCAAAAATGATTCTCATGTTCTTGATGGCTTTGTGAACTGGCTGCAGTTAAGTGGTAAATATCTTTTGATGTCAGTATATAAAACTGAAGGGCGTAGGGAGTGGTGATGTTGATGGGAGGCTTCCTGGCCAAATTTCCCCCCTCAGCCTTTACCATGGCCTACAAATTGTCCCTATGTATGACTGGCTTGCACTTGCCCTGCGATGGACTGGCGCCCTGGCCAGGGTGAACCCTGCCTTACGCTCGTTGTTTGCAGGTAGGCTCCAGCTTCCCACGACACTTTATGGTATAAAAGCGGTTTGGAAAATGACATGACATATTGCAAAGAATTGCCTCTCTGAAATCCACTTAAAGAAGTATGAGATCAAGTGTTGCCCTTAAGAGAATCATAATTATTATTATAGGGGGACCTGAAATACATGGAAATGTTCAAAAGTATTGACAAAGTCATCTGGCAGACTACATTGGGATCTCTAGTGAGAAAAACAGCCAAGAAAATTAAGTGGGTATGAATTCAGGACCACCCATAGGTGACATTTCTCCACACCAAGACTTGTGGGTGTATGGATCAGATAAGATGCTTCAAAAACAACTGGATGAGGTCCTTGGCTACGTGTTACAAGTAAACCATGGGCTGGACGATCTCATTTTGATTTATAATGTTCCTAATGTTATTTCTTTAATTTACTTTATATTTTATTTTGGCCCACATTCCATCATGTGCAGTATAAGGATGAAGATCCATGATGCCCATTTATTCAGTGGAATGTGGGGATGTGGGATGGTGCCAGTTGTTTAGGCTGCCAGGGACTAAAATTGTGAGGAAAAATAAGTTTTAGTTGTCGACTGTGGCCACGACCCTTTTAGCAGAAAGAAACGCATGAAAAAAGGAAATTCTCAAAATATAGATTGGTGATTGTTTTTGTTTTTCAATTACAGTAGTTTATTTTAAAAAAATATGGACAAAGAGAATGCAAAGATTGAATGTATCTGCCTTTAATAACAGTATCAGGGCTGGTTCAAGATTTATCGAAGGTACAGTAAAAGGCCTCTAATTGTTAACGTCAGAAAGATAAAAAGATTTGAGTGTCCTCTTGTGGTCACCATGCAGTGTTACAAAAGAGGTGGCTTTCTTAAAAAAACTTCATTTCTTCTCCTTATTTGAAGTCTTGACTTGACTATCTTAATTTTATGAAAGCTTTTCATTGATGAATGAATAAAACCTCATACTGCTATGCCTTTTTTTAAGTTCATCTACTATTGTTGACCGATGGATTTTAAATGATTTGACTGCCAATATAAAACCTCTTTCATTTTCGCGACCTACAGATGTCTCCACTGCACATTATTTAGATCGGTTATTTGGATGGCTAAAAGGCTTCGAGTGAAAATACACAGGTGTCCCTTAACGACTGTTTTAACTCCTGTCCAGGTTCGGACATGCTAAAAATTTGGTGTCATGTTTACTTCTGTGTGAAGTTTTGTGTCAAGTATATGCATATTTAGGCATGTACGGAACCAGAAAGATTAATTTGTTTGCCTGCATATTGGTTTTCTCCCCGTTGTCACACGATTAACTGATTTAATGGAAGAGGGTGGAATTGCAATTTGCACCGTATCAGTTCAAATATTCATTTGAAACTTTATTATTCCCATGATTGAATATTACACTGCTCATCAGAATTCGTAAATTTTCACACTGAAGTTGCACGTTGACTTCACACATAAAACAATGAGTTGAAATAACTCATAGTATCATTGCATTGTCTTCTTTATATTCAAACGAAACGGAAACAGGTTTTGATTGCATCGGTTCCGTCATGTAAAGTGTTTTCCCAAACAACAATTAGTAGATAAAGCACAAAAAAATGATGTGTGCATTTGTAACGCCCTTTTCATAATGTCTCATAGCAAAGGAGGCGATTGAATTACTATATAAATTCGTATGCCGTGCACAGTTGTTTGCTTCATAATTCATATTTCTCGTTTTAGTCTGCGTACCAGCCCTAACCTTGGGAAGAACTTCAATATCCAGAATCCTTTGTATGCCACAGGTCCATTGTCATTGGCTACAGCGGGCGATCTTGTTGGGAACGCTGCATGTGAGTGTAGTTCTGGGAGGAAGCTATTCTCAGAATCTACACTAATCAGAAAAAGGTAAGTGCATTTCTTTTCCGATGAAAGGAAACTAGATCTGTTTTAAATAATTATTGCTGCGTATGTAGTCATTAATTCAAAAGTCTATTGTATTTTTTATTCATATTTATATATGTTTATACATTAATTTGAAAGCAGTTTAGTATCACATGCTGTGGTATAACCCATGCTGCTCCTGCTAGCAATGAAATAAGACGATGGCAGTATTTAAAATGAACATATTTAGACTTTTTCCATGTTGTGCTTTTTATATAAAGCTTCATGCATATGCAGTGCATTTTTGTTCAGGTGATATTCACTCTAGATAAAACATTTGCAATACAATAAATGTCATTATAAGATAAGGGTATCATATTTTGTTCTTTTGTAAAAGATTGATATTTCTCACATACCACGTCTGTTTGAAAACATCCATTTTGCAGCACACTAATATAATTACTTAAGGACTTACCTTTTTACTAAGATAACGTTTCAAGTTTTTTTTTTAAATTGTGGCTTAAACGTCTTTTTTTATATAGTTACATCATTAAAGACAACACATTTTATTTGAGAAATGTTCGGGTTTAAAACATTATAGAGAATAAGTTGAAATAGAAAATGAGTTTAGCGCAAATTATACAGTGCTTCTACAGATACTTTGTAAGTTTTTTTTTTAGATATCTGCTGTTTTCCGCTGGCGCTTCACTGCTAAAAAAGCTAAAATACATAACCAACACCGTACTATACCCTCACAGTGAGTTACACTCGGTTACTTTTTTTTTTGTTAAGTTCGGTAAGCACTGTTCACCATTTTAATAACAGATGCCCTTTGGTGAGACGCCTGCTAAGCAAATAAAATAATAATGAATAGTAATAATGGGTGCAAGTTCGAGCAATCTTTAAATATCAACTAGTAAGGCAGAGCACAAAGCAACTTTTATGGCGTATTTATTGCCACATTTGAACCTTTGAGCACTGCGATATTTTAAGGAGTTCGGTTCTACATTTTCAACGAAGGGCAACATTTTAGCCTGTCCTTTGTATTATGTTGCACATGAAGCTACAACAGATTGCGTAATGTCAGCTCTAGCAGAATAAAGCCTCAGGTTCTGGACCGATCTCTAAGGAATTTGGGTCACACTTTGTTCTTTCTAAATGCTCCTTACAGTTTGTCACAGAAGAACATTGACAGGAGCAGTCAGGGTTAGCCGCCGGTATTTGATGATTTGATACTATAACTTTCTGAATCATATGTAGCAAGAACGACGGTGAAAAATGTGTTCCCATGGGAAACCTAAATTAGTCTATTTTTTTCTTGCTAGCTTTATAATTATTAAGATTTTACTTTTTGACAGTAAAATGCCCCAATATGTGCTAAGCTTTGTATCGGTTTTAACTGATTTGTAATAAAAGCTCTTAAAATGATTTAATAATGAATGTACGCCTAACACTTATGCAAAAGCTTGCGCTATGCTGACATTTCTGCTTTGGACGAGTAGAGAAGATATGTTAATGGTCCGTAATCATTTGAATTAAGGAGGAAATGGTAGAAACATCAAACATTATAAGACAACGTCTGCAGAACTGGGGGAAAAGGTCAAGCTTAATTTTGTCTGGTTTCTAATGATCTGAATTGTCATGTATTGTCATGAAGAGGTTTAAACTGTTTACCAATTAGCATCTTCTGGTAATATATAGAATTTCAACCTCTCAAAATTTGGTGAAGGTCCTGCTGTGATAAACTGGTCTGCTGGATTTTGAAACACTCTATACTGGAAGATATTAATCACCACTAGATACCAATGGAACCTTTAGTGTTGAAATTTACACTGGGTTTCTTATTTGAAAACTGATATAGAGTATGTAGACAGCAGTAAAATACCTGTGTCTGCCTTAATACTGGGCTATTTCTGCATATAGTAACTATTGTTGCCCATTTGGTTTTTGTGTCAAGAACACTGGTTGCCATGGCGAAAAAAGCAGGCTGTGAGTATCATCGTTTAACACTGTTAGCAGCCTGATGGAAAGAATGTAGTGATCTGCCAGTCCATTAAGCTCAGCACAGCAAACAAGTACTAGTCTGCAAATATTTTAGTTTTTTCCTGTATAAGCTGAAAATCCCTGAGCTTTGAGATGTTCTTATCAAATAGCACTAGTTGTATGTACCAGTAACATGGCCTGTTGTAAAATATGGACAGAAATATATCAGTATTGTAAAGAGGGTAAGCTCTTTGTAGAACGGATTCAGGGTCCTTTATTTAGTTTGATGATGAAGAAATGGCAAGAAGAATAGGTGATGGTTCATGCCAGGAACTCAAAGTGTTGCTCTGTGAGGGAAAATAACTTTTAGTTGTCGGCTGTGGCCGCAAACCTTTTAACAGAACGAAACGCATGTAAAAAAAAAAATCTCATGTGAAATATTAATTAATGTATAATTAAGTACAGTACTTGGATCCTTTATGCAATGAACACATTGTACAAAGTACTGGGAAATTCAAAATACTTGTACTCATGTTTTCATTTTCATTAAAATGCCATTGAAATGCAAGTTTGATCTTGTGATTAGTTTTTAACTGACAGCGTCTGTGTCTATGCAGTTTATTTTGCACCCACTGGCAGGTTTCTGAAGTTTGTATTTCTTCTTACAGGATACCTTGGTTTAAGAGCAGACAGATGTTGTTGCACAGAAGCATCTGTTTATGTTCTGAGTAGCAGAGACTAGCCTTGAAAACTGTGAAACGTGTGACCAAATTGCGTTTGTTTTGGCCTTCCAGACCGATTTAGTAATGTAAGCATTACTTATCAATTAGGTCTAAATATTTCTGGGACCTGTTTTTATTATGTAGTCCTATTTTACAAGGAAGACAATTGAGAATACATTTTCATTTATTGTAATTATCTGAAGACCCTTTTATACTGCAGTATATAGTTACTACGGTGGTGTGAGTGAAGTACTTTTCTCAAAGTCCCAACATCGACATCCTAACTGGGATTCACACCCATAGCCTTGCAGCCCGGGGCCCAGAGCCCTAACCACTACTCTGTACTACAGCATTTTAAAGGTGATCTGGCACGGAACCCCCTCAAAAAAGTATGAGGATGAGTCATGATCACCATATCAAATTGCTTGGATTGGCTTGCAGGTTTATTGATCAATGCAGTGGACAGTGTGTCAGGCAAGGGGTCGATCTCTAATAATTATGTGTTACTAATAATATGTTTTTTATTTTATATAGCGCATTCCATGGTACTTGCTGTATGGTCCCACACCAGAATATTTATTTTCAACCAGTAAAGTTGGGTAATATATTGTGTTCATTTAATTTGATCAGTTTTAATTTAATCATGTTTATTACCTGAGGATCAGAGCTGTGCAAATGCAGCATGGTTTGAACCATACAGTACATTACATTAAATGGTTTGGAAAGATAATCCTTTCTTTTCGATTGTTATCCCAAAATGATTCCAGAAATCCTTCTTTTAGCCAAGAAATGAGTTGCAGATTCTGGGCCCTTCAACATTTCAATCACATGGCCTGAGAATGACATAAATACCAAACTAAAGAAGCAGGCTGTCTGGGTTGAACCATTTAATTTATGCTTTCCTTAGGGAAAAAAAAATTGTTGTAGGATTAAGTGAGGGTGTTAACGGTTTTTGATTTAATCTCTATGCAGTTTTCCTCTTTCGATATTTCACCTGTCACAGGCTTTATCTCTGGTCTGTTTTGGTTTTGTTTTTTTCCCCTTTTATCATGTTTCTACATAATTAAAACTGAGTGAAGGGCTCCTCGTATGCACTTTTCTTAAAGGTTCCTCGTAGACTTTACACATTTGCTGTCCTTTTGTGTGCCAAGATGATGTACATTTTTTAAGATGTTTTTCTGCAGCAAATGCTCTGTACCTTGAAGAGATTTCTGTGTGTGATCTACAGTATTAATGAGTGAGAGGAATCTCTGTGTCAGGCTATCTCAAATGGGTTTCCTACTAGTTGTAAACAGCTTTTCTTTGCTAATTGGATAAAAAGCTTTATTGTTTTTTGTTAACCATTGTTAGGTGTGACTGGATTGCACAATATTAAAGGAATCCTTAAGATGGCCTTTATAGGGTGTGGTTCAAGCAGGTTTGACTATAATTCTGTCATTTATACCTTAGGCAAAATCTTCCAGTGCCTTGGGTTTCAAATTGCGTACAGTTCATCCTTACTCAGATGGAAGGAGAGACAACAAGTGTCTTTTAATATTATTTTAACAGACACCTTCTTCCAATGCTGTTCACATCCAGTATAATCAAGGAACAGTGCAAAAACTCCTAATGTACAGCACTATAAATTAGGCCTTACAATAACTGTAACATTGACATTTTCATCAAGAGTCTAGGAATCTTGCAAGCTGTTATTAGAATAGCACAGAATTTTAAATGTGAAATGTCTTGTTAGTGTTAAAGTCTCTTCAGGAATGTATCTAAGCCATAATGGCATTTTTGAAGCTAGTGAGACAACTGCAATATATTTATTGTGTGGGGTGATTTAAAGCAGTTCTTGTTTTTTATCAACCATCTGACAGGAAGTTAACAGTGGCTTTGTTTCAAGATGATTGATGGCACCAGGAGCAAGGTGACATGCAGGACCTGAGGCAGAAAAACTAAAGGAACGATGCTTCTGGTGGAAAGAGCCTCCTGCGACGAAGTGTTGAGGCTGAGGACATCAAATGAAAAATCGACTTCGAGCAACAAGGAGACCGGTAAGGGACCACTGCTACCCAACTACTGGTCTTTATCCATCAAGTAATATCTTTCAAGCAGACATAGTCATTACTCTAACAAGAAAGGTTGAGAAGTTTGCCAGACCAAGAACATTTTTACTTTTATCGTTGTTTGTCTGCTAGGCTTTACAACAGAGGTGGGAAACCTTGATCTGGATGCACAACAGTGCTTTCTGGAATTTATTCATTGAAACAGGGTTTGCTAAAACCAGTATGGCATTACTCCAGGTTTTAATTTGGTGGTGCTTTTGCACAGCCTTGAGCTGTCTCAGCCTTGGGAAAGAAGGACGCCTACAACTGCTTTACAGCCATAGTTGAAGTATAGCAGCCTCTGGCTCCCTCCATTAAGCATTGCGGGAGAGCTGGTTGGAGGAGCAGTGCATCTCTTGCTGGTGTCATTTGGACCTTACATGCATCCAACAGCGTTAACATTCTTAGGATTTTACTTTTTGAATGTAAAATGCTCATGTGTGTGCTAAGCTTTGTATCCATTTGTGCTGATTGCACTAAAAGAAAAGCTCTAATGATTTAATGATGAATGTACCTCTAACACTTATTCAAAAGCTTGCACTGTGATGAAATTTTTGCTTTAGAGGACAATAGAAGGCCCGTAATCATTTGAATTGAGGAGGAAATGGTAGAAACGTCAAACAGTTTTAGAAAAAATTCGCAGAACTGGTGGACAAAGTTAAATGCTTAGTTTTATCTCTCCTTTCTAGCGGAAGTTCCAATATAAAGTGTAGTGTAGTGCCATGAAGTGGTTTAAACTGGTTACCGCTTAACATCTTTTAGTAATCTAACGTATAGAATTTCAACTTCTCTTAACACTCTGCTCAGGTCTTGCTATAATAAACTGGTCTCTGCTCTGTTTGGAAACACTCTGAACTGTAAGATATTAATCATCACTTGGTGCCAGGTCTCTGGTTTCTACTAGACAGCAGGTCTCAAGCGTACCTGTTGCACCAGAAACCGTTAATACCCATCCCGATGGTGCAGGCTCAGAGCACCCACAGCAGGCAGTGGGCCTCAGCCAGTGCTCTGAGAGAAAGCTTTCATGGATCAAAAGTTTGTTATAGGTACTATTAGGTCCATTTTCCAACCAGTAGAAAACCAAAAACTAAAAATTACGTATTACTGTATCTTTTCACCCGCTTCATTTGGGGTTCTAAAAAGATTGCATCACCTTGCCAGCCTTCAGTTTGTTGTTTTTGTTCCTCTGCAGTTTCTGCTTGTATTCAGCTCAAAGGTTATATATTTGCTCATTTGGTTGCGTCATGATCCAGAACTCCCTTTCAGACCATTTGTTAAAGAATTCCCATAATCACCATGTAAAAACACTGAAACAATATTGCAGTAATACCGCTTTAAAAAAAGCTTAGTTGAATATAATAAAAGGCTACTCCTTTTTGAAACCTCAAAATGAAACCATGCTGGAGTATGACATCAGTAGTGTACACTTGAGGGGAATAGTAGTATAGACTGGGATTTCAATTTGTATGCAAATAGGTCCTTTGAAAACAGAGGCTGTAAGAAATCCCGTAGCTGTAACACTGCAGCCCATCATGGTTAAATAATAACTTGGATTTGTATAGTGCTCTTCATCCCAAAAGACATATAGTAAGAGACCCGCTTTAAAACCTGTTAACTTCAGTTGATGTGCAGCTGCCCCAGGCACAGCTGATCAGATGGAGAAGGAAATACTTCAGCAGTTGCTTTAAAGGTGAAAATGAGAAAGATCAGATCGTGCAGGCCCAGTGGAATGTAACCAGAGCGTTGGTTTTCAGGCCCTCTACTCTTCCCAGAGTTTCATGGGGCTTTTAATGACCAAGTGGTCAGGACCTCGGTTGAATGTCTCATCCGCAGGACAGCACATCCTACAGCACTTGAGTAGAGATGTGATTTTCACTGCAGGTCTCTCTCTGCCCTGCTTTTCTTAGCTTCAGGGATCTGTTAAGATCAGATTGCTAAATGGAAAGGCTGCTTCACGAGGTAGTGCAGGTCGATTGTGGTATCGAGATTTAGTCTATAAGATAGTTTTAAAATCAGATAAATATTTATATGCTATTATGTAGTAAAAATAGCATTAAAAATAAGTACAAAGGCAGAGCATATACACTCGAAAATGAAAATAAGTTAAAATACTTTTTTTATAGAAGTTCTAATTTTCTGCTGCATTTTTGTGCTATTGCATTACCAAGAGAGCACCTGTACATATCTTTCCCATTTTGGCTAACATTTTATAAATATATGTTTTTGATTTCTAATTCTGTGGGTACTTTTCTTCATGAGATATAGTTCATTCATAGAGACCTTCCATATTTAAACACAAGGCCTGTCTGGTTTGGAGCACTTTCTGGTGATTTGTTTCATGGCTGCAATTCTGACAATTCTAAACAAGTCTTTCTTTGCCTCTGATGGCAGTTCATCTGGTGTTTGTCCCAGAAGCAAAATTCTAGGGTGCAGTTTCAATCTAACAAAGAACATTTTTGATATATTCTCAAGATACAGTGGAAAGGATTATTTACAAATGAAGAACATTCAAGACAGTTGCCAGTCTTCCCAGGAGTGGGCGCCCCATCAAATTCACCCCAAGGTATAATGCTCAGAGAAATCGCAAAGAACCCAAGATCTACATCTAGGGACCTACAGGCCTCGGTTAACATGTTAAAGTTCAGGACAGATTAGAAAAAGACTGAACAAGTATGCCTTTCATGGAAGGGTAGCCAGGAGAAAGCCCCTTCTCTCCAAAAAGAACATGGCAGCACAGCTTCGGTTTGCAAAGTTGCATCTAAACAAACAAGTTCAAGTTCAAGTTTGTCATTATACTCATACACAGGTATATGGTATAACAAAGTGCTATTTAGCAAGTTCTCAGATGGTAAGCAGTACAACAGAAACAACAATACAATTGTATAAGAAAAGAAAGACAGAGAAAACAGGCAATGTGCAAAACAACATCAGTTGTGCAAAATCATACATCAACAGAATGAAATAAAAGATAGAAAATTATGGGGACTTAACTTCTTGCCATGAAGGTAGATTTCAATGTGTGTTTGCGTTTTTATAAAGAGAGAAGGCACTGTGAGGGTTCAGATCATAGGTGAGAGAGGCTGGGAGTTTAATAGTTTGATAGTGCAGGGGTAAAAACTGAGTCTGGTAGTCCAGGCCCAAATGCTCCGGTACTCTTTTCCAGATGGTAGAGGGTCAAACAGTGAGGGAGGGAGCTTTCCTCTAGCACCGTTTGTCTTAAATGTCCTGGATAGATGGGAGAGCATCCCCAGTGATGGATTGGGCAGTTTTCACCTCCCACTGTAGGGCTTTGCGGTCAGCAATACTGCAGTTGCCATACCACACTGTGATGCAACCGTCAGTGTGCTTTCTGTAGTGTATCTGTAAAAGTTATTGAGGATCTGGGGACATATCTTAGCCTTCTTCAACCATCTTAGGAAGTACAGGCACTGTTGCACTTTCTTGATCAGACAGGTGGCGTTGAGAGACCATGTGAGTTCCTTAGTGATATGGAATTTCAAGTTACTGACCCTTTCCACTTCAGTCCCGTTGATGTGGATAGGGGCATGTCCGTTTTGCAGTTTTCTGAAATCAACGATCATCTCCTCGGTTTTGCTGATGTTGAGGGTGAGGTTTTTGTCTTCACACCACCTTGTAAGGAGATTGACCTCCTCCCTGTAGGCCCTCTCATCATTGTCTGTGATCAGACCTACAACTGTGGTGTCGTCAGCAAACTTGATGATGGAGTTGGTGTTATGTTTGGCCTTACAGTCGTGGGTATAGAGGGAGTAGAGCAATGGACTAAGCACACACCCCTGGGGAACCCCAGTGTTCAGAGTTAGTGTGCCAGAGGTGTGGTTTCCAAGCCTGACAGCCTGAGGTCTGCCTGTCAGAAAGTCCCCAATCCAGTTGCAGATGGTGGTGTCAAAACCCAGTGCACTGAGTCTCTTGACTAGTTTCTCTGGAATGATGGTGTTAAAAGCTGAGCTGAAGTCGATGAATAGTCGTCTTGCGTATGTGTTCTTTTTATCCAGATGGGATAGGGCAGTGTGTATGGCAATGGAGATTATGTCATCTGTGGATCTGTTGGGCTGGTAGGTGAATTGGTATGCGTCCAGTGTGTCTGGAATGGTGTCCTTAATGTGGCCCATGGCCAGCTTCTCAAAGCACTTCATGATAACAGGAGTTAATGCCAACAGGCGGTAGTCATTAAGGCATGTCACTGTGGTTTTTTCGGTATTGGGATGATGGTGGTTGTCTTGAAACAGGTGGGGACTACAGCTTGGGCCAGAGACATGTTGAACATGTCTGTGAATACACCTGCCAATTGATTGGCGCAAGCTCTGAGGACGTGACTGGGTATGCCGTCAGGTCCTGTAGCCTTGCGTCTCTTCACTTTTAGCAGAGATCTCCTCACCTCACCTGGTCAGCTGCAGAGGGTGCAGCTCTGTTGACTGGTTCTGTGTTGCTGACTTCAAATCTATCATAGAAGGTGTTGAGCTCATTAGGCAGGATGGCATCATGGGCAGGTGCACGGATGTCCTTCCTTTTGTAGTCTGTGAGGGCCTGTAAACCACAAGATTTCTGGAACAGTGTCTTTTGGACAGACGAGACCAAAGTGGAGATGTTTGGTCATTATGCACAACACCATGTTTGGTGAAAACCAAACACAGCGTATCACCACAAACACCTCATACCGACCGTCAAGCACGGTGGTGGAGGGGTGATGATTTGGGCTTGTTTTGCAGCCACAGGACCTGGGCACCTTGCAGTCATCGAGTCGACTATGAAATGCTCTTTATACCAAAGTATTCTAGAGACAAATAAGGACATCTGTCTGACAGCTAAAGCTTGGACAAAATTGGGTCATGCAACAGGACAGTGATCCCAAGCACACCAGCAAATCTACAACTGAATGGCTGAAAAAGAAAAGAATCAAGGTGTTGGAATGGCCAAGTCAAAGTCTAGAC